CCCTCTCCTTCTGGGTTCTGGGGCAAAATCCCCTGCAGATCTTACAGCACTCTTTTTGATGGGATTCCCCCAGACACTTCAGACAAGAAGTGTGAGGGTAGCTCCTTGGTATAGGCTTATTACAAGCCATGCACTGTTTAAACCCCGAGACATACCCCAGTTCTGGGGAAGAGGGTTTGCCCCCAATGAACAGGGCTGTAAGTAATCTAACAAGTACACTAAGACTAAATAAGAAACTAACTATTTTAACTATTTATAGGTAACTACAAGTAAACCACTAGGGAAACCCTTGCAGAAGCAAGAGAGAAACGACGTTCCGGCTAACCGTCACTGGCAGTAAGAAGGAATTGAAGAGGCAGCAGGTCAGCAGTGCTATATATGCGGCGCCATGACGGCACAACTCCAGGGAATGCCTGGACTAACCCGACAGATATCGTTAAGGGAAAAACCTTTCAGAAACTGAGCACACAGTGCACACACACCTACTTTGGAATCGACATGAGCAAGCACTCAAAGAAGAACAACCGTTACAGCAGAAAACAAAAACATATTAGTTTTTAGTCAAATAACCAGCACTTAACACAAGAATGGGCTGATCAAATTCTGAAAAATTTGAGCTTTGTATCCTCTTTTGTCATGTTTCTTCCCAATTCACTGTCATCACAAAGCTACTGGTGCTTCGAGATATAAGCAGCTTGACTCCAGCTGAGATAGCAAGTGAACAGTTCTCTCTGGAGTCAATACTTCCTCGAAGATACACAAGCAAGAAGTCCTAAAAAACACAATACATTCTCTCCTCACATACACCAAATGCATAATGAATTGTGTAACCTGCTCTGTATTAACCCAGAACCTGCAACTATGAATGCAAATCTGAAAATCAATTTCTTGGCAATAATGCAGCTCATTCCACATGCCTGATATCAACATTCTTTTCTAAATAACTTGATACTGGGCTGGTGAACTGAACCTAAGAAGTGAGGGGGCATATGGAAGCAGACACAGACAGCTCAGTCACACAGCTGGAAACATCTGTGTTTGGGTTATTACCACATAGTATCTAGTAACTACTGTCAGACAGAATACTGATCAATTCCTAGTTTTGTAGCAGTTATTGCAATTATTTTATCCCCTCTATATTAATCTTTTTTAGCCAACAATAGCAGCCACAAAGAAAAATAGCAGAACATTTCTTTAATAACACATTTGATGTATAACTTCTAGGATACAGGGACATGAGTTTTGCTAGCTCAGAATGATTTCACCTTTGAAACATCTAGTTGTTAGTGCAAATATGTAGAAATTAAACAAAGAACCAATATTCTCTACCTATTTTCAATTATTTTTCAAGCTGGGACCATAAAACTTTTGTTTGGAACCACTTCAAATGGTCCTAAATGTATACAGCACACATTCATTTCAAAATTAATCTTTCACCAAATCTGAACCATCCATTAAATTAATGGAGATATCCCATCTCCTAGAACTGGAAGGGACCTTGAAAGGTCATCGAGTCCAGCCCCCTGCCTTCACTAGCAGGACCAAGTACTGATTTTTCCCCAGATCCCTAAGTGGCCCCCTCAAGGATTGAACTCTCAACCCTGGGTTTAGCAGGCCAATGCTCAAACCACTGTGCTATCCCTCCCCCCCACATCTGGGGAAAAAAATATTATTCAGCGTTAATATTTGTGAACGATTGCTACAGATTACTTTACCCTCTAGAGCAGGGGTTGGCAACG